GTTACAGCGTAAACATTTATACATGTGAAAGTAAACAGCACATGAACACTTTTACATATGCCTTTAAATGTAGGAAATCTCCAGGCTGCATTAACCTGCACTTATATCACACAGTCAACGGTGAATACACACTTTGATCTAATTACACATTGTTTACTGTGCAAAATTAAAGGGGGAATGTATCTTGTTTCTTTGTGTAGACAAGCTGCCTTTGTCCATCCGTGTCTTGCTGGAGGCGGTGGTCCGTAACTGCGATGGCTTCTTCACTAAAGAGGAAGACGTGCAGAACGTTCTGGACTGGCAGCGGCAGCAGAGCAAAGCCGAGGTGCCGTTCTCTCCAGCGAGGGTCCTCCTCCAGGACTTCACGTGAGTCTCCGAGTCATTACTTCTGTCATCATGATCTCTGTTTGCGTTCATATTGTCATACTTGAATAATAATAATAATCGTAATATGTTTATTTAGTATAGCACCTTTCACAGACAATACAATTTGCTTCACAAGAAAGAACAACAATTTAAATTAAGACCCCAGAAACATGAATAGGACATGAGCCAGAAATGTAAGGTTAACATAAAAACAAAACACAGACCATGTGGAGTCCTGAGAGGAACAAACATGAGAACAGAACACATCACACACATCTCAAGTAGAAACAAAAGCCAGTGTAAAGATATGGGTCTTTAGTTGTTTTTTAATAGACAGACTATTCCGATAGATCCCTGAAGGAAATGTGTTTGACTTTATTTTTATTTTCCTGGTTTTCCTTCACAGTGGTATTCCTGCCATGGTGGACCTGGCAGCCATGAGGGACGCAGTGGCCAAACATGGCATGGACCCCAGCCTGGTGAACCCCAAATGCCCCACAGACCTCATCGTAGACCACTCATTACAGATTGATTATAGCAAATGGTGTGTTTACATTTACATTTCCCTTTTTTACAAATTGACAATCTGCTCAAGTTAGTTAGATCAGAGAGGTAAAATAATCATAAGTGTGAGATAATTAGATCTTTTTTATTATATTCATACAAAGCACAAGTAGAAAGAGTTATTTATCTTGAATGTATTTACTCTAACGACACTGTAATCAATTCTTTAGTATAACATTCTTTTGTTTTTAGCCACAGTGCCATACAGAATGCTCCTAACCCAGGAGCAGGGGACGGTCAGAGTCAGGGACCGGGTCCTTCCCGTCCGGCTCCCTCGTGGCGGGGCTCACAGTGTGGGGCTCAGCGGGGGTCCTGCAGTAAGTCCTCCTGCAGCGACCCTCCCCCCGCCGCAGGGCGAGGGCCCGGGCAGCAGATCGAGAACACGCCGCTCCTCTGTCCCTTCCACCTGCAGCCCGTGTCTGAGTGAGTTTGAAATCATCTACAAACTCTTGCATTTTGAGAATCACATGAAAATCTGCAGGTACACTAATGTGAAGGAGATGGGGTCTCCAGGAAATTGGGTTCTAGAGACGGCACGGTGTGGATGGGTGTGTCCCGGTAAAAGACCACGGAGAACAGACTTTCACAGTTCAGATCTTGTGTGTGTGTGTGTGTGTGTGTGTGTGTGTGTGTGTGTGTGTGTGTGTGTGTGTGTGTGTGTGTGTGTGTGTGTGTGTGTGTGTGTGTGTGTGTGTGTGTGTGTGTGTGTGTGTGTGTGTGTGTGTGTGTGTGTGTGTGTGTGTGTGTGTGTGTGTGTGTGTGTGTAGTAGTAGTATATATATATATAGTAGTATACTAGTAGTAGTACGTATA